AAAAACACAGTGTATGTTTATTACAAGATATAACAGTCTATATAATTGAAAAAGTACAATTTCCATCAATGGAATAATTTTTTTGCAATAGTTGTGATAGTGGAAGAGTGCCCATGACATGAAGTATGTAGTGGTTTTTTGTAAGACATCAAAAGCCTAACAACTAATAAACTAGGTTTTTGTTTGCTCAGTATTAGATATAAAAATTGATATTAAACTGTCAAATATCAAACTAAATTTATCAATCAATAAATAATTAAAATACATTAATATGCAATTAAAAACCAATTAATACAGTAGCTTCAATTTAGATTAAATAATTAACACATGGCTTATTGACCAATTAACATAGATGATTTAATAAAATAAATGTTAATGGTTAAAAGGAATTGGATAAACGGACTTGTTTAAAGAAAATTGCATAAATAGATTTGATTAAAAAATCAATAAAATGTTTTCAAAAGAACTGGAATCTTTGTGCAATATATGGATATTTAACAATTGGCCTCTAACAATGTTTAATAACTAAAAATTATCAATAGAAGGAAGAGCAATGCTAAAATAAATGTTATACATCTAGATTATTATTTGATTACTCTAGGTAATTTTCGATATGCTGTTTGTTAAGAGTTTTGATAGTACAGCATGTTGTATGGTATTCAACTGCTCAAGGAGGGTTTCCCCCCCACAAAATGTGCTACATAGTTTATTATTACTAGAAGGTTTAGAGCAGTGGTTCTCAATCTTTGGTCCTCCAGGTGTTTTGGACTTCATCTCCCAGAAATCCCAGCCATCTTACAGGTGTTAGGAATTGTGGGAGTTGAAGTCCCAAACATCTGGAAGACCAAAGGTTGGGAACCACTGGTTGAGTTACCAATGTTAGGAAACTACATTCCATAGAGGAGACAGTATCTGATGATCTGAAGAATAGAATTGAAATGAATGGTTTAAAGGAAACCAACAGATAAGAGTGGGAGGTTCGCTCTTATTTTTTGGTCATTGTTTCTCTTTCTGTTTAGTTATTTTTTATTAGTTGCTTAGTTGTAGTTTGCCTGCTAACCCCCGAAATAACGAGACCACACAACAATATTTGGATTTGAAATATGGGCAACTTTTATTAATTGTTACCTGTTTAACTTTGACTGGATCTCAGTTTTATGAATCTTGAACTTGGTGGCAAAGTCGAGGTAGTGTCTCTGTCTGGCCTACCTCTGGGCTAGTTAGGGTGAAACACCCGGGTCCCCTGGACACCCAAGCCATGTAACTTCTGAAGGAAATGTGTCGGAGAAGTCCCTCTCAGAGTATCCGAGACCATAATCTCTCTATTTTTAGGCCATTTTAATTCCCTTCACCTCATCAAATTGAACCTTAGGTGAGTGTTTTAGTTAATGGCCTTCACCCCTGAAGGCTGTGTCTTGGGCGTACACCAAATTATTAGCTTTTCTGAATTATTTATCGTGAGCACCTATTTAAAGCCACACCATCCCAATTTGCCTTGTAACAGTAAAGGGTAGGCAAAAAACCCTCTCAGAACATAAGAGGGAAAAAATTCCTACCCAGCCCCCTAATGGCAACCATAATATGCTGTTTAATAGGCGGGAGTGGTGGGTCGACGTTCAGCTTCAGAATGAGGAAGGGGGCAGGCCAGTGCTAAGAGCCTGGCTCCGCCTCCTGTAAAGTAGTTCCAGCCGGAACTATATTCACTCTCTTCGTGGGAAGAGGCAAACTCCTTTCCCATCTCCACTGCGTGGAGATGGTAAAGCTTCTTAGTAATAGTGATAGTATGTAGGTAGCACTAGAAAACACAGAAACACATACTGTAGACTTGTAAGAAAATGTATTAATTGAAACAATTAAAAATTGCTTTCTATGTGATCCATAATCCTAAATTGAAGATATAACATATAAATTAAAATTTTAAAATACTTATTGCACTTATTGCACTTGCATTGTTGTTAACTTCTTGTCACACAATTCAGAAGCAAACGGTGCTCATTCAAAAGGAAAACCAGCTATCACTTAAGGAAGCAAAGTCAACATCTGTTCGGAACCTATGGGAGTCAGCATGTTTTGGCTGGAAAAACACCTCTCAGTCATTTACAAAAACAACCGGAACATCAGCAAGAAATATTGCTATATAAAAGACACTTTACTACTTGAAAATTGTGGCAGGCTGGAGGAGTCTGGTCCACCTGCCACTCAGGAATGAATGTATATGTGAGTGAATGCTGAGTGAAATATAATATCCCTTGTTTGTGTACCCAATGTAGTTAGAGTCTGTGTGTCTACTTTCTTTCTCTGTATTGCTCTGTGGTATACTCTGTTTCACTGTGAACCAAATAAAATAACACTTTTAATGCTTTTTAATGTTTAAGAAGTATTCATGTCATAGTATCGTACTGTAAATAATGAAAAGGCCACATGAAATAGATAGATCATATATTCTAATACCTTTTTAAAATATCATCTTTATTGAGAATTTTTCTGTTTTTAAAATACAGTTTAATAAACTGAGAATAGTAAAGAATAACTAGAAAAAAAGAAAGAAAAAGAAAAAAGGGAGGGGGGAGAAGAAAAGAGAGAGGGAAGAAAAGGAGAAAGAAATAGAATAGACAAATAGAGAAAGAGAGAAAGAAAAGAAAAAAGAAGGAAAGAAAAAAAGTAGTTAAAAACAGAGGAGACAGGTGGTATACATCTCCTTCGTTGACTTCCTCTGTATCTTCCGAGTGGAATTTCCTTTTCTTTCTTCCATCTGTATTTTCTTTTCTTCCTGTTTTCTCTTCTTTTTATATTGTTGTGTTTCTATTCTCTTGTTTCAAGTAATTTGTCACTTTTGTCCAATCAGTTTCTTTTATTGGGGTTCCTTTATTTTTTGATATCAGATATGTTAGTCTGTACATATTTCTAATGTCTAGATTTTTTTCTGTCCAGTTCTTAATTTCTGGGATCTCTTCCTTCTTCCATAATTTTGCATAGCAAATTCTTGCAGCCGCGTTCAATAAAAAAAGAAGTTTATCCATATTTTTATCTATCTTTGGGTCTGTTATACCTAATAAAAATATCTCTGGTTTGAATGGGATTCTTATGTGTAGCATTTCCTGTAATGTTTCGTGAATTTTTTTCCAGTACAGTTTAGATTTTGAACATGACCACCACATGTGGAAATATGAACCCTCAATCTTTCCATATTTCCAGCATTTTGTATTTATATTTTTATAAGAATTTCCTAATTTTTGAGGGGTCACATACCATCTATGTGCAACTTTAAGCCAGTTTTCTTTTACGTCTATTGCGTATGTATATTTAATCTTTATTCTCCAAATTCTTTCCCATTCTTCTTTTTAAATTGTTTTTCCTAAATTTTAATTCCATCTTTTCATGTATTTTTCCACCCTCTATTTCCATGCTCCATTCCACTAACTTCTTGTATAATTTTGTTATGATCTTTCTTTCAGATTTTAGTATACTGTCCCAAAAGGTATCTTGTTCCTGAAAGCCTAATATCTTAAGGTTGATACCATCCAACTCTGGCCAAAGAAGGGAAATTAAAGGAGGCCAGCCATTGTACTAATAGAATGCAAAATACAGCAAGTCAGATGATACTTCCAAGTTCTTACAAACACTTTTAGACCAGCCCTGCTTGAAGAATAGGAAAACATAATTTGGCCCTAGAATATCTTGGTGTCATACACAAACTTAGCCTTTGTGCTAACATCATTTAGAGTTAGTGAGACAAATTGACCTGGAAGTCCCTAATGACTTGCCAAAAGGCATACCGTATATACTCGAGTATAAGCCGACCCGAATATAAGCCGAGATACCTAATTTTACCACAAAAAACTGGGAAAACATATTGACTCGAGTATAAGCCGAGGGTGATAAATGCAGCTGCTACTGGTTAATTTCAAAACTAAAATTAGATATCACAGCAAACCAGCTGGCAGACAGGCTGCACGTGCGGTGAATAGGAGAGCAGAGCAGCTGCGCGTGGGGCAAGTGAAGGGGAAACAGAGTCAAGTACCTCCCTCCCTGCACGTCATGCTGCTCATGCACGCATGCCTCCATTTCTTCCCCACTCACTGCGCATGCAGCCTCTCTTCCTTCCACGCACACAGCAAGACAAGCAGGGAGGGAGGTGCACGCCTCCGTTTCTCCCCCCATTCGCTGTGCACACGCCCTCTGCTCTCCGCATAGCAACCCAGCTGGGTTGCTGTTCGGAGAGCAAGACAGGTTGCGCACAGGGTGAATGGGGGAGAAACTGAGGCGTGCACCTCACTCCCTGCACGCCTCCATTTCTTCCCTCACCACACATGCAGCCTCTCTTCCTTCCGCGCACACAGCAAGACAAGCAGGAAGAGAGGCTGCATGCGCGTTGAATGGGGAAGAAATGGAGGCGTGCATGCGTGCGCGCATGGCAAGACGTGCAGGGAGGGAGGTGCACGCCTCCATTTCCCCTTCACTTGCCCCGCACACAGCTTCTCCGCAGATGCAGTGGAGGAGGAAGCTGTGGGGGCGAAGACAAGGCCAGGGATTCCACCAGCCAGCGTCAGAGCCTTTTTTCCTCAGCTTTTTCTCCTTCACCCGAATATAAGCCGAGGGGGGCTTTTTCAGCCCCCTAAAAAGGGCTGAAAAACTCGGCTTATATTTGAGTATAAACGGTATGTTGCTTGCGTCTACCTCACAGAATTGATGTGAAGATATACAGGATAAAGTTGGGAGAATAATGCATGTTCGCTTGGATGAAAGATGGGATACAAATACAATAAAATAACCCTTTTTATTATTATCAAAAGAGTCAAAAATATGTCTAGGTTTTTGACAATCCATTCAGGTATGCCTAATCTATGTTGAACTATAAGCCATTAAATTCAAAGTAAGGCTCGTGTGAAAGACCTGCAGAACCACTTATGGAACAGTTGGTTTTACAGAAATTGCCAAATGATGAAAGTTTAACATTTACCACTTATTAATGCTCTCATTAATTCTAGGAATATACTCACATTTTAGTTCGAGTTTAATGAAGTCTGTATTCCCCAGATTCTCAAGAAACACTCCATCAGAGGCTGATGTTTTGAAGTAGAAAGAAATGTCAGCACTGGTTTCCCCTTGGAAAGTGGAGAAATGAAGATATGAAGATGGAGTAATGAATGATGCTGCATTCCAGTAATTCTCTGTGGAGAAAAAAAAACAGAGCATGGATTTTCCTCCTATGATTTTTTGAGTCATGTTTTATATAGAAACAGAATAAATAAAAAAATTGAGCTGAGAAACATAGGATGTAAATGTCAAATAAACTATAGCACTCTTCCTAAAGAAAAGCAATAGTTGTATCTTTAAAAAAGCTTGTTCATAATCATGTTTTACTGTGACATGTTGTGAATAATTTAATGACAAAAGAATTGATAGAAATTCAGCTTGCATTTTCCAAGCAAATGGGGATACATTTCTTGAGTGTTGTTTGGGGCACCCCACCAAACTCAATGAGAAAAAAGTATACAGAATTCAAACATTTTCTACATGACATGATAGAAAAAAAATTGACATTCCCCTCATAATTCTACAAACAAGAGCTGCATGGAGTGAAAAGTTACATTTTACTGCACTATTGGCAATGGAACAGTATCATAATCTGGACCTAGTGAGTATAACTTAGGGACTCATGATAGTCTCTGTAACCTCTGCCACATGAAGAGGTTACACATTATCACACTAGGGCTTTAATGCGGGCAGCCCCGTTCTTCTGCCACTTGCAGAATTCTGGGAAATGTAGTTTGGGAAGGCAAGGACCTCTGTAGCAGAGTATTTACAAGACCCCACCCTAAACTGCATTTCCCAGAATTCTGCAGGCAGCAGAAAAATGGGCTAACTGCGTAAAACCCTACTGTGATACCGTGGTAAGTCTAATGATAGAATCTAATGACTATCCATGTACATAATGGAATTTCCTAAACTGTTCTCTTATTCAGTTACTGGAATTTCTGGTCATTATTTTGAAATATACACAAAATTTAGAAGGCAAATAAACACAAGAATGATGTTTATTATAACTTGACAAAGTCTCTCACAAGTTTTATGGACCAGAGGTTGCTTTGGCAAATGCACAGAATAGTTTCTTAGGTAGGTGTGTATATACACATATTTACATGGATACAGAAGCAAACCAAAATTTAAAATCTGTCAAAAGTCACCTATTTAAGAGACAGCAGCAGGCATAACATGTTACGTTGCAGAACAAAGAAAATTGAGGTTCATAGAATAGTCACATAATCTTATGCTATTGCTCCCTCAACATTCTTGTCCTAGTAGTACGCCCCCCTCGGTCTGTTTATTTTCCTGTTTCTCTATGAGTTCTCCCTTTCAAATAATTCTGCTCCTTTATCTCACCCTGAGTTTTTAAATCATTTTATGTACATGCGGCCCGCTCACTGTCATTATGTTTGGTTTACTGCTTTTTTATGTTTGTGTATATTGTTTATATGCTCATTTGTTTTATACTTTAATGCTAGGTACAGGGAGCACACCACTCCGCTGTTACACCAGCTCCATTGGCTGCCAATTAGCTTCTGAGCGCAATTCAAAGTGCTGGTGTTAACCTATAAAGCCCTAAACCACTCCGGCCCGGTTTACCTCTCCGAAAGTATTCTCCCCTACGAACCATCAAGATTACTAAGATTGTCTGGAGGGGCCCTGCTCTCGGTCCCGCTGGCCTCACAAGCGCGGCTGGTGGGGACGAGGGGCAGGGCCTTCTCAGTAGTGGCCCTGCGACTCTGGAACTCTCTCCCGCCAGAGGTTAGAACCGCCCCAACAATCCTGACATTCAGGAAACAGGTGAAGTCGTGGTTATGGAGACAGGCCTTCGAAGAATGAGACCATGATCTGGATGGAAGACGGTGTATATTCTTTTTTAGTATGACGACTGACCACTGTAGTTTTAAATATATGTGCTTTTTAAATGTTTTATTGTAATGTGTATTTTGATATTTTACCGATTGTATGTGTTTTTATGGTTGGAAACCGGGCTGAGTCCCTCTTATGAGGTGAGAAGCCCGGTATATAAAACTTTGAAATAAATAAATAAATAAATAAATGTTGTTCATTTTATTGTAATTTGTATCTTATTTTATTGTAATCTGTTATTTGGGCTTGGCGTCATGTAAGCTGCCCTGAGTCCCTGTTGGGGGAGATGGTGGCAGGGTATAAATAAAGTGTATTTATTATTATTATTATTATTATTATTATTATTATTATTATTATTATTATAGAATCATATCATAGAATCACAGAGCTGGAAGAGACCACATGGGCCAACGCTCTTTTCAATGCAGGAAAAGCATAATTAGTGAATGTGAGGAAGCCCTGTAATTATCAATATCAACTTAGGGGCTTTTTTGCAAAGGGACCACTAATTAAAGAGAGTTTACTTATTTTTGATAGCATAGCTTGTGTTTAATGTCCCTGATTTTGTCTTTCTTCTTGTGCAAGGCTGTTTGACTTAGAGGAAACTGTACCAGAGGAAAGGCTTGAGGAAAACAGTAACAAATTTATTGGAATATAAGAGGAGTATAATAGATTCAATGTTACTTCACTCTAGAGGCACAAACTTAGTTGGTTACATTTATGAGGTTTCTTGAATAACTCTAGGCACTAAACAGATTTCAAAAAGGTTTCTTTAGGCAGATGACTCTTTCTTTAACAACCATTCTGGCAATACCAATAAGCCACCTGACTTATTCAACTGTATTGGCTCTAAGCCAAACCTTGATTCTTAATCAAGAATCAGTCCTCCCTGTAGATCTACCACTACAGGATTCCTGTTGGATTTCCACTTTCACACAGGATCAACTACCTCTGTAATTCACTAACTACAGATCAATTCCCTGATCCTCTCACTAGAGATTCCTCTCCTGTAACTTCTCCAGTTACAGGCTGCTGATCCACAGATCAGTCCTATTCTGTAACTCTCCGGCTACACACTGATCACTTTCAAACAGCTATGCTGCCAAGTGGCAGTTGGCTCCGCCCCCGTTACTATGGCAACTCAGCTCAAGGCAAGCCAAGCCAGTTACCAACCCTAATAAAATATAATTCTACATACTTACCATTACTAACTATTGTCTAAACCAGGGGTCTTCAAACTTTTTAAGCAGAGGGCCAGGTCACAGTCCCTCAAATTGTTGGAGGGCCAGATTATAATTTGAAAAAAAAGAATGAATTCCTGTGCACACTGCACATATCTTATTTGTAGTGCAAAAAAACAACACTTAATAACAATACAATAATTAAAATGCAATTTTAACAAATATAAACTTATTAGTATTTCAGTGGGAAGTGTGGACCTGCTTTTGGCTGATGAGATAGGATTGTTGTTGTGTGCTTTCAAGTTGTTTCATACTTAGGTTGACCCTGAGTGAGGGCCGAGTAAATGACCTTGGAGGGCCGTATCTGGCCCTCGGGCCTTAGTTTGAGGACCCCTGGTCTAAACAATACATAACTATAAGAATAAAAATACACATCATCACAGTGAAAATATCACATATTATTATGAAACGAATGTAAATATATCTTTATTTAATTGCAAAACAAGAGATGAGTGTTAACATCTTTATATTTCAATGTACACTTTGCAATGGAACAAGAAAATAATTTTGGGTGAAAGGGTGGTCTACAGGAAATGGAAGAAGGACTGAAGCAGTCTAAAATAAGGGATACTGGAAGAAAGAAAGAGCAGAGATCATCTCCCAGAGATGTGAGAGCAAGGTACAGAGGAGAGCATTAGCAGCCCAAGCTTTCCCACCACCCAAGGTGAGAAGAGAAGCAGAGGTGCCCATCTTTCACCATGTAAAAAGGGCTAACTTTTGACTGCCAGCTTGATGGAAATGGACAGCATGGTGAGGAGCCATGAGCCATGTTAGGTCCTCTCCATATTGAAGAAGGAGAAGTTTTATTATTTATTTTCTTTCTTAATTTTTATTTTGCCTTTTTCAAGGTGTGTAGCAGTACAATGACACAACACAATCAAAACAGAGTAAATGCCTTGAAATATGAATATACATTTTAAAAAATTAATCCTTTTGATCTATGGAACAAAAATATTAAAGTACATTTAAAACTACACTTAAATACTATACAGTCCCCAAAATCCCACTCACCCCATCATCATCAGCCTGATGGCAGAGGTACATTTTCACCTACCAGCAAAAGAAGCAGTGACAGAGCTAACCTGTTCTCTCTAAAGCGGTAGTTCCTTAGTCTGGGAACAGTCACCGAAATAGCTCTCTCCCTTGTTCCCGCCAATAGAGCTTGATATGGTGGTGAGGCAGAGAGAGAATGCCCTCTCCAGATAACTGTAGAGTTCCAACAGATTCATACACCTAACCTAGAACCACTATATAGGGCATTATATATCAAAATTAGCACTTTGAATTGTGACCTGAAACAAGTTGATAACCAATGGAACTGTTGAAACTGGGGAGCTGCTTGCTCTTTGGACTGATGGAAGTTTCTGAGCTCTTTTCAAATGTAGCTCCATGTAGAGTGCATTATAGTAGTCCAACCAGGTTGTAATCAAGGTATGTACCACTGTGGCCATATCATACTTGTCCAAAAATTGGTGCAGTTGGCACACTAGTTTTAACTGTGTAAAAGCACTCCTGGTCACTCCTGAAATCTAGGTTTCCAGGTTCAGAGCCAAACTGCGAACCTGCATTTCCAGGGAGAGAGTGACCCCATTTAACACAAGGCTGAATCACTATTGTGAAATCTATCTTTGGACTGACCAAGAATGGCTCTGTTTTGTCTGGATTTAGCTTCATTTTGTTTGCTCTCATCCAGTCCATTCCAGCTGCCAGGTGCCGATTTAGCACAGGAGTTGAGTAGGTAGTAGGCTTGGTTTATTTTTAAAAAATGGTTCAAAACTTGTTTCGGATATAGGGGGCACTGGTGCTTCGATTCTAAAGTCAATTCCAATTTTCACAGATTTTTTTTCAAAACTTTTCGAAACTTCCGAGACTTCCGAATCCTTTCATTAATGGTTTGAAAGTGTTACTTCCTGTTTCATTGGGTGGTCTTTACTTTGAAAGTAGTTTTTTTTACTCCAGAAGCAGGGAAAAGCAAGCGGAGGAAATTTCTTCCTTCTCCGGTTTAAAACTAGCTTCTCTGGTTTAAAACTGGC